AAAGTTTTGTTTTACTAAGCATAACTTTATCTGCTCGACATACTTTTTAGTTAAAATGTTTTTAAAATGATGAAAATGTGCTGATTAAATACTAATTTTTATAAAGACTAAAATTACTATGGCTGAAGCATGAATGAAAAATAAACCTAGATTTAACCAGATAAAGTAGAGATTATCAATTCTTGTATGTTAAAGCTCGTAGATACATGATTATTACTCGGTAACTATTAGGTTATTATTAGGTAATGCTCACAAAGCATCATTATTAGGTAATATAACTTTTTACCTATATAGTACCATTAAGGATTCACACAAATGTTTTATTTTTTTTTTAACGTTAATTTGTTGAGCACCATGTGTATTATTAAAGAAATTTCCGTCAGGCTATGTGTATTGCTTAGAAGCTCTCGTATTGTAATATAACAATGCGAAGTGCAAGACTAATGGTCTGAAATAAATAAAAATATGATTTGTATTAAAAAAATATTAAGCAAATTTTCAGTAATTACTTATAAAAAAGTAAATTTTTTATTTTTATATTATGTTTTACACTGTTTGCTACCGATGATTAACGAAGCCAAAACGAAAAGTTCAATGTCAGTCGCCGATGATTAACGAAGCCTAAACGGGAAGTTCAATGTCAGTCGCCGATGATTAGTGAGGCCTAAACTGAAAGTTCAGTGTCAGTCACCGAAGATTAACGAAGTCTAAACGGAAAATTCAGTGTCAGTAACCAATGACAGACGTAGCACTCAACGTGTAACGGGTATAAACCATAGAGTTGATATAAATGTGTCTGAAATTCCATACAGTGGTTTTTTAAGGTTAAGTGCTATTGTTTGGATAATAATAGCGTTGTATAGGCTTTGAGCGTTAATGATTGGTTAGACACAGAATTAGTTGGTTAAATGTTTGACGGGTAAAATGGTTAAATGGGTATTCTCGGAGCTTTAAGTTCAGTTTCAGTCACTGTTGATTAACGAAAGGAACTCAATAGAATTCATTGCAGATTCTCCGAGCTTTAACCTATTAAAATCAGCAATTTTAATCGGTTATACCTTAGGTTTATCTTTTATTATAGCTTTATCCATAACATATTAATTTGACTTTTTGTTTTATCTAACAATTTAATGAATTAATTCTTACAACTCAACTCTCGTACTAAAGGATAAGTTTCATCTGAAGGAAATAAGCGAGAATGAACTTCAGACGATTGGATAGTCTTTTAAGTTCGTGACGTCATTCTTACTCAATTCCGACAAGTGAAATCTACCGATGGGTACGAGTATTGGGTCTTTAGCAAGCGTATAGCAACGGTTCGTAAAATGCATAATTTTTTTTGTAATGATTCATTTATATTAGCAATTCAAAGTTTTAAGCATTAAACATCAAATTTCATATTGAATTTCATCATCACATCTTTACACATTATTTTCACCTAAATATATAACTGTTATTACAATAAAATAATAAATTTCCTAATACAATTTCAGTTTTAAACAATAAACAAGTACATAATAACATAAGTACATAGTAACATAAACAAACATTAAATACTAAAAGCAATAATTAAATATTTGTTTTGACCCTTGTACAGTTTTGGGAAATGAAAACGTTTTCAAGGATTGAAAATTTTTTCAAAAATAGAAGATACTTTTTGTAAAAATATTTGATTTTTACTTTTTTATTAAAAGAAGTAAACTATTCGCAACTACCACAATTTATTTCGAAACATTTTCTGTATACTTTCACGGGAAACTGACCATATATGTTTCAGCAATTAATAAATAGTGGTATTTACAGATTATTTACTTTTCTTAAAAAAAAAGGTAAAATTGAAATGCTTTCAGTAGCTTATATTTCCGGAATCCTAAACAGTTCAAAAACGATTCTTGCTTAGTGAGCATTTAAATTTTCAAAACAATAATTTAAATAAATCAAAAACTTTTTCATTTAACCGAAATTAGTGTGAAATTAAGGAAAAATTTAAGAACTATATTTCTTTTTTAAAGAAAATGTTTAATTGTTGCTCAAAACAGCTTTCACATTTATAACAATTAATAAATTTTGTTAATATAATTCATTTTTTAATTTCACTTTAGAAACATATAATATTAAATATGTACATATTTTTAAAATATTATTCATTTTTCAACAATTTTAAAATTTTTATAAAAATTATCGGCAGCTACTCATATGCGTTATAATTTTCTCTGCCATTCTTATAACTTTTGATCGTTAAAGATCAAATTTAACAAAAATTAAATTCACTATGTTAATTAAAAATTTAATTAGTTTAAATTATAAAAACTCTTATTATGTATTTTAGTTTTATGATTGAATATTTACAACCATTTTTGACAAATGTCAAATTATGGGCAAGAATTTCACGACTTCAAAAAGCTAGTATGTAAATTCCTGTGTAACGTTAATCATTTATAAATTTGTAATTTTAGCCAATTAAGTAAGTTTCATTCTATTGATACCATTTTCTGTGTGTTTGTTCTAATGTTATACAAATCAAACTAAATTGGATAACAGTGATAAATTATGTCAATTTAATAATTCAGTATTTTCTCTATTAATACCATTTTCAGTGAGTTTGCTTATATGTTATTCAAATAAAATTGAATTGGATATCATTGATAAATTATGTCAATTAACTAATGCAGAATTCGTCTATATTAGTACCATTTTCCGTGTGCTGTTATGTTATGCATATCAAATTAAATTAGATTATATTGATAAATTCTGTCAATTAATTAATGTAAAGTTTGTTCGCGTGTTCTTATGTTATGCAAATCAAATTGAATAGGATAACATTGATAAATTATGTCAATTAACTAATGCAGAATTCCTCTCTATTGATACCATTTTTAGTGAGTTTGTTCTTTTGTTAAACAAATAAAATTGAATTGGATAGCATAGATAAATTATGTCAATTAACTAATACAGAATTCGTCTCTATTGATACCATTTTCACTGTGTTTGTTCTTTCGCTATACAAATAAAATTGAATTGGATAACAATGATAAATTATGTCAATTAACTACTGCAGAATTTGTCTCTATTGATACCATTTTCCGTATGTTCTTATGTTATGCAAATCAAATTAAATTACATAATATTGATAAATTATGTCAATTAGTTAATGTATAATTTGTCTCTATTGATACCATTTTTGGTGTGTTGGTTCAATATTGTACAAATCAATGAAAACCGCATATAGATAAGTAAAATCATAAGACATATTGCAAACCTTAATTATACAACTTTAAATGTGTTCATTTAGTTTTGGAAAATTGAATCACATCATTAAAGTTAGGCCATTAATTAATACAGATTTCGACGAAATTAATACAGTGTTCAATGCGTTTTTTCCATATTATACAAATCAAAGAAAATTAAAGAGCATTGATAAATATAGGGATTTCTACGGCAAATTTGTTTCTGCCAATTTTAACAAGTTCATTCTCTTTTATATTAATTTGAAAAAAGTCGGATTCCTTTGTTGAATTTAGTCACTCAACTACAGTAGGGAACCGATTATCCGGAACGATCGGGACCATCGCTATTCCGGATAACTGACTTTTCCGGTTTTCTGAATCGCTACAAAAAGCCGTTTTTTTATTGTTAAACTCAACTAAAAAAAAATTTTTTTTGGAAAAAATCTTGAAAAGAAGGAAAAAACGATGGAGTAATACACTAATGATTATTTCCAAAATGATGGTAAGGTAAACATCTTTCAAAAAAGAAAGAAAAATCCTAAAATCTTATGAGGAAAATTTTTTTTTTTTTTTAAAAATTGCGGAAAATTTATTGAATTTCGTTCGGGTTTTTTGGTTTTCCGGTTTTCTGATTTCCGGATAACGGGTTTTGCACTGTACTACGGATTTAAACGCCAATTGTACTATTTTCAGTAGGTTTGTTTCAATGTTATACAAGTCAAATTGAATTGGATGACATAATTAAATTTAGTATACTAACTAATGTAGATTTTGACATTGATATTTTCCTTTCAGTGTATTCATTTCGTTGTATTCATTGTATAGCAGTTTATAATTTCTTTTTGTACAAATAATACTGTTAATAGTATAACGACAAATTATACAAGTTTTGTACACGTTTACTAAAAACTTAAATGGATTCTATTCATAAAATGGACTATACTACTAAAATAAGAAAAAATTATAAACACTACTACATATCTGAGCTCCATAATTTTTCTTTGTTGTTCATATCACAATTTGAGTTTGCAGGAGAGTCACGTGGCATTTGAGAAATGCAAGGTGTACTGTACTGACCACCCTTTATGTGTAATTTTAAAATCTTCGTCAAAAGAGAAATAAAAAAAGAGTATACCAATTAGGGATTGCGAATTAACATTGAGAAACAAAAGCACCGAACAATGGGTTGAATCGCTAGAGAAGGAGGCAAGGGGAAAATCATTAAAACCAGTTTGAATATTTAATGACTTTTGGAGACGTTTATATTAATCGTCTTCTAACTCCTCTATACTTCCTGCAGTAGTTAAACAGGTTTACACACTTTCAGTCACGCCTTCCCTTAAAATGATTCAACAGATTGCGATGGCGTTAAAAATATATATTAAGAGTGATCATTACAGAACATCGTGTATAATTTCTGTTATTCAGTAACAGTGTATAGTTTTGGCCCCAAATGTTTCTTCCAACAATAAAAAATGACATTAAAACTTTATAGTAACGATGCATCAGTTACCTATGTATATAATTAATAGAATAATTTTGTTACCTGATACACCTCAGAATCTTTGATGAATAAGAATTTATATGAAGTGTTAAAATTCAGTGCCTACACTTTGTTCAAAAATTAAAATGCTAAATAAATATTGATATATTGTGATAGCAATAGCTCCAGCTCAATTTGGATTAGGATTTAAAAAAATATCGACAAAATATTTTTTTTTGATGCAGATATTTTATAATTACTCTATTTTTCATTATAAGTCTAGAAATATATTACAAAATAAACAATAAAAGGGAAAAACTTTAAAATAAAAATGTAAACCTATTTTTATCATTAAAAGTGTTACTTTTTACAAAGCTCTTAACTTCAATAATAATAATGATAATAATAATAAAAATAGTTTTCTATGCACTAAAATTTGCACCTGGATGAAGTTTAAACAAAATGGAAATTTAAATAGTATAATTTTGGCTCTATTATTTGTTAAGGATTCAAAAAATTATTGAACTCAGAACTGTAGAGAGAGAGATTTAACAATAATAATTTCTTTTGAATATATTTGAGCCTCTGTATAAGTAGTATAGTACCAGTTTATTAAATTGATATTCAATATAAACTTGACCCCAAAAACGCGTAACAATATTATGTTAACTTGTCATAGAATCTACTTAATGTAACAATCTATTTGACACATTTTTTTCGTGTTACACAACAATATACTATATCTTCGATTTCAAGAGGCTTTTCATCATCCAGAAGTACCACTAGGTGGCGCAGTGTTGTTGACAACCACTGCGCCCTCTAACGTCGGAGGAGAAGTTGAAGCACCAGCTGTCATGGAACGATAAATTTCTTCGTTTCCTTTACGCACTGCAAAAGAAAAAAATGTTTTAATTTTTTAATAATACAATAGTATACATAAGTGGGGAATTTAAGATAAGTTTATAATACATAAGTGGGGAATTTTTTAAAGTAAAACAACGACAAGTCACTAACAGAAAAATAAAAATGTGGCGGTAAATATTTGAATAAGCTTAGTAGATAAACCCTCCAAAGTGAAAAAAATAATAGACTAATTTTAAACTAAATTATACATTTTAATACTTTCAATATATTGTTTTTCGATTCTGACATAACCACCAAACAGTAAGTTCTAACTTCCAGGAGTGTTTAAAGTGGTAGCTAAGTATCAAATCAAGGTTAACTTATTTTATCTAGTTTTGTAAGCTTGCTAAACCTTTAATATATAATTAATAGGTTTTATACACATATGCTTCAGTTGTGTACAAGTTGTGGTGGACGCAATCATTATAAATTATATTTATTAAATCAGTAATAAAATGTTATAATATAGCCAAATAAATCAAGGTTAACTTATTTTGTCCGCTTTCTAAACCTTTTATATATAATTAATAGGATTTACACACATATGCTTGAGTGTTGTACAAGTTGTGGTGGACTCAATCATTCTAAATTATAATTATTAAGTCTAATAAAATGTTAAATCATAAAATTTATCACCTCTCTGAATATTTAAACAAGAATGTTCCTATAAATCAGAACAAATGGGCAAGCATGTTCTGATTATACTATGCGTTTATAACTCTTTCAAGAAGAAATTTAAAGAGTTACTGAAAATATGGCATGCCGATTTTATTAGTATAAAATATTTTCGTTCGATATGATCTTTAATCAGATATGATATATAGTCTCATAATTATTAACATGCACAGAAAAATAACTTCTCTGGTGGATAAATGTTAATTAATAGTTAGAAATATGCGTAATTTCGTAATAGGGTATTTTCATATCTAGTTATTTTCTTTTTTTATTATACGATATAAAAACAAGTTCTCGAATTTTCGGGGCATATCGGGGTGCTTAAAAACTATATTTTTTACAAGTTAACATTTATTTCCCGCTATCAGTGGTATCAGCGGGCTGTAAAAGTTAGAAATGGTAGATAATTTGCTTCAAATTTACAATCGCCAATCTTACAGATAAACATATCTGAGCAGCTGATGCCGGTTACTGCCCTCATGTGTCAAAATAAACGACCACACATAAAATATTAGGGTATAACAAACAATAATTATCCATGCAGAATTTTTGTTAACTTTATTCATGTTCGTCCCACAGTCGACTGATTGCAAAGACACGGTTCCCAATAGAACACCAAAGTCAAGCATGAGCGGCAACGGTCAGTGAGTGGGTGGGTGACCACTGTGATCAGCCTGCGAAGGGAACAAGGGTGTTCGGTATCGGTGCTCGTGAAACCATTCTACCGTAAAGTGCTCGACTTCGCTCGCAGGTAGTCAACTGCCAAATCACCCTTTTGCATCAAAATTGCTAGGGCATGTCTTCGGATCATCCTCAGAGATGTTTGTCAGACCGTCGCCAATAGCCCAATCAGCAGCTCCAGTGGACATAAATAATTATTACTATTGTTCCTTGTTGTTGTTGTAGTTTATTTACGTTGCACTAGAGCTGCACAATGGGCTATTGGCGATGGTCTGGGAAACATCCCTGAGGATGATCTGTAGACATGCCATCACAATTTTGATCCTTTGCAGGTGAGATGGCGCCGCCCGCTTCGGTAGCCCAAAGACCTGCACGCGAAGTCAAACACTTACGGTAGAACAATTTAACGAGAACCAATACCACACACCCTCGGTTTCTAGCCAGACTGATCCAAGTGGGTCACCCACCCGCACACTCACTGACCACAGCCAGAGATGCTTGACTTCGGTGATCTGCTGGGAACCGTGTCTTAACGATCAGTCCACTGCGGGACTTTCGACTTATGAGAACAATTTGTTTGAGTAGCATGTGGACCACTCTTTTTGTTGGTCATACTCAAATTGTACACTTGTATGTTACTTGTTTGTAAGTTCAGATGTTCTTCAGCTACTTTGAAAACAAGAAATTGTGCCCTTCATTGTAATTGTCCGGAATTATTGAGACTCGCAGACTTGACCAACCATTTCTGACTAGGCGTTATTTTTTAATTTTTAATGTAACTACGGTGGGTTCTATGCTTCTTATACATTACATGAAAGATTGGATTAGACACAAAGGTTTTGAAATGTGCTAAATATGGTTATTGGTTTGTGTCCCCCAAACCACTAGTGAAGTTCAGAGCTTGCAATCAAATGAAATACAATCACTTAAAAATTTAATTAAAATAATGTAAAATAGACCATGAATTAAGGATTGGATGAAAGTTAAAAAAGGCCACATGCATGTATAACTCAAAAGATCAAATATTAATGTATCGAAATCTCCAAAAAACACAAATGTTTACAAGAGAATGGCATGCAAGTCTTAACTTACACTTGGAGTAAGATTCTTGAAAATTCCGATTAGTAAAAGTTAGGCTAAAATTAAAGAGTATGGTTGATAATACCTGGGATAGGGTACATATTAAGTGCCAGAGATTTTTTTTCTTAATTTCTAACTGTTGAAAAATATTTAACGATATTAATATATCTACGTTGGATGGAATTAAGGTTAATAATATTTTCTAGTAGAAAGTGTTGCATTAGAATTTTAGATTCTAAAATTTAGCGAATGCGTGTAAATATTAATATTAATAAGCATTAACCTAAGAATAAAAAATTATTTCTTAAACAGATATGCAGGTCTGCAAATGGAGCAAAAGTTTTATCCACAATGCTTAGAAATTTTTTTGCTGCAACATTTAGAAAATTTAATATCTTAATACAGCGGTTCCCAATTTTTTCCGGCTACGGACCTATTTCTGGTTTCGTATCTATAATTTATTTAAAAGTTTAAGGTAATAGTGAACTCCATATTCCATAAATGATCCTTTTTGAATTGTTTAATTTATGGAACAAATTTTTTTCCATTTTATCGTTATCTTAAATTATCTAGTTATGACTTAGGATTTAAGTGTAATAACATAATACATATAATACATAATAATATTTGGTGTAATAACATATGTACATAAGCTAAAAATGTTTAAAATAAGATGAATTATGGTTAACTTCGAGAAGGAAACTTAAAAGAACTGCTATAAACTCTGAAAATGTTATTAAGGAAACTTATTTTTTATAGCATTTTATTTTGATTTGAAAAGCGTGATAGGAAATACTAGTGCAATATTTTATAAAAGCTTGTTTTTATAATTTATACAAAAATTCATTGTTATTCGAAATATTATTTTTTCTTCTGAAAAATGAAATTTCTATTTCATTGGTATTTTACTTGAAATAATATAATAAAGGCAACCGAAAGATTAAATACTACGAATTATGGGTTGTATCTAAATATAATCAGAGGTTTCAAAACTAGTTACTGGCTATAAAGAGTATTGACTAGCGGAATCTCTTTTACAACCAAACTGTAGCACGGAACCCTAGGGTCACGCGGAAAACAGTTTGGGAACAGCTGTCTTAATACCTCACTAGATGTCTTTAATGATCATTCTGGTTTTATCTGAATGTTATAAGATATATCAACGTTTCGCTATTAACTGTTTATAGAATAAGTAGTGTCAGTTTGTGTACCTTGTTCAGTGTAAATGAAAAACACAAAAGTTACATAATTCATAAGTTGCATAATGCTAATTTTCTTTTTAGTTGGGTAAAGATTTTGAGTTGTGGAGAGCCTTTGAAATAGAGAATTAAAGAGAACGTTGCCAGACCATGGACACCCATTCGACCTTTGCATTTTGCTACTTGGCATTCGGAAAAGAACACGTTGCCGGATTATTGTCACCAATTTGGATTTCACATTATACTGGATGTTATTGAAAAAGAACCTAGTTCAGATATCGACACCCTTTGGATTCCACATTTCTCAGCGTGACTATTGGCAAAAAGAAAAGTTAATTAGACTACTGGCTTATATTGGGTATGTGTATCTTTTGATCAAATTTTAATTTGAAATGCTTTCAAAGAATGTATGCGTTTAAACGTTCAATTCTTGGCTTAATAGTTTACAGAATATCATAATATCATCAAAATTCTCAAAGGGTTGAAAATAAAGTCACTTTACATGATTACGGAGGAAAGCTCTAAGAATCTTCAGAACTTCTATAAATTTCTTTCAAATAGACATTTCTTCTTAATAAAATTATGCGGCTCGTAGTTTAAAAATGTTATTTAGTACTGACGCTTTACTTAGGGTAAAATTGTCAACTGATTTGGATGATAATGAATTGTCAACGTATATAACTCAAAACTGATTCTTTTTATAAAATTAAATTTAAAACTCTAAAATATCACTATATTTTCCAATTTTAATTGGGTAACGATCTTCTATTTCACAATATTATATAATATATATGAATAATACTACAGAGTAAAGTAAGTGTCAATCATTACTTGTGAGAATTAAAAACACTCCGTTATTAATCCTTTTTAGTTTGATACTTGGTACTAAGGAATGATCTCTTAAAGGATTCATGCTAAAATATTCGTCTTTATTAAAGATACTTCTACAAAAATAATTTTTTTTTCTCCTTCTAGATTCGTTAATTTGCTTGGATCGGACACGATCACCTTAAGAAGGATTATTTGGACTTCGCTATTCTACACTTCAATCTTGACTAACCTACTTGAATTAGAAAAATTTCAACAGACCGTAAAAGAATTTTTAAATTTGCTGCTTTTTTCATTTTTTGTTTAAACTTTCAAATACTTGCCTAAAGTGGTTTTTGAATAATGCTGACTGAAGTTCTCTAATGTTTTGGTCCAAGATGTAATGCTGATTTATTCCTAATTGTTCCTAAAATTGGTATCATGCGCCTGTAAGGACCGGGAAATGTTTTCGTTTTTGAAGTGGAGAATGAAATTAAAAGTTTAACATCAAAGTGAGAATTTCGTAATAAAATACTTGAAATA